CACACACACACACACACACAAACACACACACACACACACACATACAAAACGAATCACTTCATACTAACTGAGAAAACGCAATATAAGCTCGGTGCGAAGAAATCACACCGTCTCTTATACACTATACCTTAAATCAAATTATAGGCTCCCAGCAGGACCTGTTCGCTATTCCTCGGTAGAAGTTTCCTTCTTCAACTTCTGTTTAGCCTGCTTCATAAACCTCTATCGTAATATCTTGGCCCTCGCACTGTGACGTAATCCTGGTACACAATGCTTAAAGCACACTGCCGTTTAACTTTATTTAATAACCAAGGGAAGATCAAAGAGGGAAAGGACGCGCGCCCTACTATATAGTCAGACTGGAGTTTTGCTCTTCATTATCGCGCCAACTAGCGTTGAGAAGTTTTATTGAAATCGAAGTACGGCGGCCAATTCAGTGCCCTATATGAGTTTAATATAATTCAAGTCTATAAACCTTTTGACTCTTTACATAACATGTTCTATTTTTTATGACACTGATTTTTTGCCCCCTCAATTAAAAAAGAAACAAAAGTGAGACCATCCGAAACAAACAAACATGCAAAATGAACCAACATTTTAATTCTGAAATGTTTTTCAAATCCGTTCTGCTTTTACAAACAGTTAAACTGGAAGATAACGGAACCTGTAATGGCAGCAATTATCACATGCTGAAAGCAACAAGATTACCAGAAGAACGATAACCAGCGTGTCGCAAAAAGCTTAAAAGTAGTTATTAATAAACTCTTTGATCGTGTTTCGTTTTTAGTGTCTAGTTATATAATTCTAGTGTTGTCGCTTCTCTTCGCTCCGGACAGCCAAGCAAGAGGAAAGAACGACTAAAGTTCACAGTGAAGGCACCGCCCACCTTACAGGAGGCGAGGGAGACCAAGAGAAGGAAGGGCCCACCTAAAGTTCGACTACTGTAAGTACATTTGTTTGTGTGTATGTGTGTGTATATATGTGTGTGTATCTAGGCGATCATAAATCGGATTATATGACCGTCTAGGTGTGAAAGTATCAATATGCGTGTATGTGCATGTGTGTGTTCGGGGGGTGGGGTGAGAGAGAAAGAGAGAGAGAGAGAGA